CATTACATTTAGTTCCATATTAGATACATTTCTCATCTTAAAACTTTATTTAAACATTCACTGATTAACACTGCAACAACAAATCAATCAATATTAAAGTTTTCAAATAACTATATCATCATTGAAAATAGTAATAGTAGTAGTAATACTTATTCGGTTCGGGAGAAGAAATGAAATATATAGGGATAACGAACAGTATTCAAGCTCAAAAGTCCAATAAACATTACAAAATAGGAGCAGAGCAAACACGGACCTTCAAAACATCAGAGGTGGGATCAGAAAAACCGATTCCTCCTATCTTCCATATTTTAGGTTCAGATTGTTAACTTCAAAGAAATTGTAGGATGACATCGTGCACCTAGCTAGCATGCCTCTCTTTAAATGCTTTTTATTTTCTTTCTATGTTGATACTTTAAATTGAGGAATTTGTATAATTTTTAGTAAAATATCAAAAGGGACAACTAGGATTCAAAAAATTATAATTAATTAAGTTAAAATGCCTTTGTTGAAGTTCTTTTGGATTTATTTCTATTACAAGTTGTAGTTCTAAATTTGAAAAGTACCTGAAGAAGCTGTTATACAGACCCTGAAAACGGGAAAAAAATTAAATGGCTCGAGGACGGGCATTAATAAGAAAAACTTAAATGAAAACTTTTCACAAGGAAGATTACATGGATATCCGTATTTTGTTCCTCTTACTTCTAGATAATAGATTACATCACACGGCGGATGTGACCATTCGACAGGGAATGTTTATTCCTCCATGGCACCTGATCCCACCTCTGCTTTTTTTTTTTAGATGTCCGTGTTTGCTCTGCTCCCACTTTGTATTGTTCCAATGGATTTTTAAGCTTGATTACTGTTCGATATCTTTATATTTCATTATAGAAAATTGTAAAACCTAAAAACAAAGAAAACTGTGAATTTCATATAAGACCGAGTTCGGAAGAATGGGAAAAAATCAGCGCAAAAAGTAATATATACTTTTTAGAATTAACAAAAACATTCCGCAGTAGCGTGCATTTGAAATGAATACTGTATGTATTTTTAAAAAAGCGGGCTTCATATTTTAGCGGCTTTGAAGCAGATAACGATGCGCTAATTCATGAATACCGCTAAGAAATCATTTATAAATAGAATATACGGCACGGACATGTATAGCGCTAATTTATGATTTCGCCAATTTAACAAGTCAATACTCAGTGATTGCGGTAATTTTTGAATACGCCAATTTAAGTACACGTACAGTATCACTTTATCGAATTAAAATTATACTTTGAAACATTATGAAATATTAATATGAAACATTAAAAATGTACCATTATATGTCTTTTTGTAATCCACGTGACCTTTTTTGAAGTATTTAGAGTTGTACTCCCGCACTTCTATAGTTACTGATTTATACTTAAGGACGTCTTCCACTGTGTACTGGTCCTCATTCGTCTTCACCCAGTCAGCTGACTGAGAGTTAGAGATTAGGATATCATTGCGCAGAGAGGAAACGTTGGTCCATTTAAAGGTCACGTCACCATTCAAAAACTCTGTCCATATTTCAAACTTTTGTCCTTGAAAGGAGAAACTTTATATTAGTTTTTTCTTCACTGCATTTGTTTGAATTTTTTCTACAAAAGTCATTTCAGAAGCAAAGAATCGAAAAAAATATCGTTTTACTAAGCTTCTATTGAAGAGATAAAGAATATGATTGTTTTTCTATAGCATGATAAAATGTAATTAGATTTTGTGAGAGTGTGTAAGTGTCAAACTATTACTATTTTGAAATTTAATTTACTATAGTCAAAGTACAACTCTAATGTAATGACGACAGAAGGTGATCAGTTATTTGTCTATATTTTGTCGACACAGTCGAAATGAATTCTAAGTTTCCCGACAAAGAAATTGTTCCACATGCATGTTCATTATCAAGAAATATGAAAACTAATGCAATCTTTTAAATACATACAAGGCATAAAATTATTATTTTCTGCGTACATGTATTTGAGACTGTTGCAAAGTTTTAACATTGAGTAAATAGCATTATTTAAAGGAAAGCAGCATATAGATAGAGGCATTATGGATATAAACATACCATTTTATGTTTGAGAAGGAGCTTAAAAAATCACATAAATATTGACTGCTTTACGCATTCAATTACTCTTTAACATAAAACTTCTTTTTCAAAAACATTTCGTTCTTACCGTGTACAAAAAATAATGTCCTGGCTAGGACCAGGTACAGCCACCTGAGTTTAATCATCAGACACTTGAGAATTATTACCATTAACAATAATCCTTTTTGCAATTAATTTTACTGTCAGATCTCTCCCCGATTGTATAAAACTAAATAAAAGAAATCTTGTGATAAACAATTTTCTTTCCCAATCCAGATTTTGTAAGTACATACAGGAAAGAAGAAAAACCTTACTCCGCTTGAAGTGAACCGGTGATTAGTGTGTTGATTTGCTATTTATAAGTTGATACTTAATAACCTCATACTTCCAAAATACAGATTTAAGTTATAAATAAAGGAAGGTTGATATTACTTTATCTAGAAAATAACAGAACACTATGTGGAATAAGAATATCTTCCTTGATTAAAAGGAAGTACTCTCTCTTTCTCTCTCTCCCTCTCTCAGCGTATGTTTGCTTTTCTGTTTGCAACAAAATTAAAAATTGTACTTTTCAGGAAAATTAAATGTGATATTAGTATTAAAAGACACGGGGTATGAAGAATTTTGAGCATTGATATATGACATTTACAAACTCGTTAGTCGCTATACATAGTCGCTTTACATAATGATAGTCGGATCAGTATAAAATCCTTCACTAGCTCCTTAATTCATTCTGTGATTCGTCAAAGAAAATGTACATGTGTAAGCAAGATCAATTGCAAGTTGCGTTGATCTCCTTTATCAGTCTTTAGTTGCAATGAACGGTGTTTGTATGCTCACAGAAAGATAGTCAAAAATCCTGTCAAAAATACGACTCTTCCTTTAGTTCTTCTAGTAAATTGCAAACCTAATAAATAATGTGAAGGCATGGCTATAGTTTCTAAACCAAAAATTACCTATTTTTTAAAAAAATTAAATTATCAGAAAACACCTGCACCAATCTTCTCAAAGAAAAATTATAAAGATCGAATTTAATGTGCAATGTGTAATAAATTAATCAAAACAGTGGACGGAAATTCGGAAATAATTCTATGAGACAGGTAGAAACATGCATATACGGTACACTGGAAAATTGGAATCTCAAAACTTCATTTCGCAAATACTTGGACATATCAAAGTCAGTCAAATGGCCATATCACATTTTCTACATGTATGGCGAATACTCGGATATCTCGGAGTTTTTCGACGGCCCCCATCCAGTGGGAGATAATACATATGAATGAATTAATCCTTAATTCGATGTTTTCCCATGTCAATATAGCAGAAAAAAAGAAATAAATCTTAAACTACATGTTAAAAGCATATATATGAATATAAATTATGGACAGTAAAATTGAATGAAAAACTCAATACCTCTATACTAGCACAAGAAGAATAAAAACTGTGGTAGTTATTGGTTTGAGACAGGTTGCCACTCAGTGCTGATATATAGGGAAAAAGAAGGAGAAAATCTTATCAGGCCCCATATGCAAGAAAGTCGGTTTCTTCTTTTAAACCCCTGAACAGTTTTAAGTGTATAAAGAAAATATATTTTATTTATATATCAATATCCCAAACATTATGTTTCTTGAAATGAAATCTTGGTAAGTGTACTTTTAATAAACACTTTTAAATTTGGCATATTTTTAACTTCTTTTTTGGAATAATTTTGAATTTTTTGACAATAAAGAGACAATAAGAATATCATATCAGCCTGCTATCACATCATGTAAAGCTTTCTACATAAAAAAGTGAAAAAACGAATGTCATTTCTGCAAATATTTAATATGGTTTGCTTTCAACAAAAGTGTATTGGTTTCCCAAAATATTTCTGCTCAAATATCGGATTTGTCTTTAAATCTTTAAAAATAATAATCCAGTTATGAGTACACTTTTCTGTTTGTATTATAGCCTAACTTGAAGAATAATTTGACATAATTCTTTCTCACTTATACTAGCGGAATCAAGCAGACACTTATAAAATTCGCACTTGTTTCTAGGTTGTGTCCGCGGTAAAACCTTTTAGATAAGGAAATAAATAAATGAATAGTGTAAAATAAATGTTGTTTATATGAAGAGCACTTCTGTGTGGATTTTTATGGTGAAGAATCTCTTAAGTCTATGACAAACTGTTTTCACAATAGAATGCTACACAATTCTATAATCATAAGTTTATGAGATTTATTTTTTTAGATGCTTTGTAAAACTCAGCATAACAATGGGAATTTTTCATTGCACGGAAAAAAGAAGACAACAGTAATTGAGCAAGAAAATCACAAACTGAAACCTTTTTTACCTTCCTTACAAAAGATCTTATAAACAAATAATGGTGGTGCTGAGTAAAAGACTGATGTTTCATAAAACAGACATTTTAATGAGTTAAATGTTTGATATATTTGTTTTAAAACCTGTTCACAGATTTTTATTGTTTGTAGGTTTTTCGAGATCGATTACTGTTCGCTGATTTCACCTTTTTCGTACAATAAATTCGTTCATTTAATTCGACAGGTAGGTTGCAGTAATAAATTATGATCAATATTACATAAGGTATATCATAGTTTCTAGTTCTAGGGAGGTTTACGGTCAAATAAATTTACCTTCCCACGTAGGATGGAATATCTTTAAGAAACAAAATAAAGTAATATTTCCTTTCTAATCTCTTTAGTGGATTTCATGCTCACTGATTATATTTGCATTAGACCTTTATCAGATTTCATATTGTATTAATATTTTTTTAACGTATGAAATTTGTCAATAGATAATATTGAAATTATTTTTTTTATTAAATACCTAATGATTAAGTAATTAAAAAATATATATACGTCAAACATATGGAAGACATACATGTACATAATCTGATGGCAGAGATATCAATCTAGACACAAATTTGAAAGGTTTAATATAAAGGAAGAATCAAAATATCATTTTGTTTAATCTTTAGGCAGGTGATGCCGGGTATGATCAAATAACGAAGAGAGACTGTTTGTTTACATAATTAATGTCTCTGTCTCTGGAGAGCTAAATATTGCGCTCTTTCACAGAGTAGGAGAGAAAAATCATCTTGTAGTCTGTTCGTCCTGTGAATTAAAGCAGTGAATGGGTGAGGAAGGCCAAGACTCTATGTTCATCTAAAACAAAAAGTACAGATTTCCTATGTCAGTTTGAATTATTTCTTGAATGAAAAGATTTTACAATGCTAAGACATTTGCAAAGACTACTGTTTAATTTTTACATATATAAAATCAGTATGATTTTAAAATCAATATTATTTTCTATCTGAATTAACCAGTAGATTTTGTAAAAAAGGTATTTTTTTCTCGGGATATTTAAGTTTAAACTCCGAAACTAGGTTTGCCTTAAAGAGATAGCATATGGAATTTACAGTCCAAGTTTCAGTAATATAACTTGATATTCAAACAATACATATTTTATTCATAAGGTGAGACCTAGCCTGGGAATAATCAAAAACAGCAATATAATCCAGAAAGAAAAAAATAGGAACCCCCCCCCCCCACCCACCCCAAAAAAGACCCTCAAATGTCTTATTTAATATAAATCCGTTAAACCTCGTCCCACGGCCTCTAGATCCCTTTCTTGATATGATTTGATACATATACCAGGGTTGTCCAAAAAGTTCGTGGACAAGGGCGTTTCTGTCAAAATGAATGGTTCAAGATATACTTATTGTATACCAAAATATTAGTTATGAAAATCCAAGTCAGAATGGTTTGGTTTTTATTGTTTGAACTAAATATTTTTGTACAAATCGCGGTCATTAAAGGTCGCCGATAGTGCGCACGGACCAGGGTTAAAATGCCTTAAACTTTTTAAAAAAGTTTTCTGATTAAAATGATTATTTTCTTTATAAAACGAGTCAAAGCTTAATACAATTAAATGTGTCGCAAATAAAGCGGCTATCGTCATTTTCCGATATCTTTAGTATCGCTTACTAAATAGACAGTGAGAATATTAAGCAAAAACCGCAAGAAGTACGTTTCAAAAATTGACAGAAAAAGCGACGTCGGCAATCAGAACGGAACAGCGTCCAATCATAAATTATGGTTTAATATGGTTGAAACGACATCAGACTCAAAATATTTATTCAAACAACTTGAAATTATTGGAATATATTTAGTTCATTGATTTGTAATTGATGTATACGATTTTTCAACGGTGTGTAAATTTCGGAGACACTACAAGAAGTGGAAAACCGCTGTTATTTGTTCTAAATCTAACGCCGTCGGACAGGGCTGTGCAGCCCGTGTATACGAACTGTTTATATTGATGACGCTCGAAAATTATCGTATATTGTCTTGAATTTTAATAAAGTAATCAATTATGGTCTATACATAAATATCATTGCGCACACTTGGCAGTGTGGCATAATAAAGAAAATTAGCGTGTGTCCATGAACATGTGATAAAAATTCAAAATGATCCCTATTTTTGACGTTATCATGAAATTAGCGTTACGTCAGACTGGGCCGTGCGGCTTGCATATACAAAGTATTTACACTTATAATGTTCATAAAATAGTGTGCATTGTTTTTAATTTTTTTTAATATATTTACTAAATCATGGTCTATATTAAGATATTATCGTACACGTTTGCTATTGCGGACTTTATTAAGAAAATTACGCATGTGTCCACGAACTTTTTGGACAACCCTCGTACATGCACACTTAAAGGTATACTACCACATAGATATTTAAAATAAACAATTTCTTTTATTGCCATCCCCAAACTGATATCTTTTCAATTTTGTAGACAGCAAATACAAGTATAATCTTATTATTTATTGGCAATGTTCATTTTAAGTGTTTACCTGCGAGTCTACCAGTAGCAGCACTTACACCAAAGTAGCCACTGTCTGGGAGATTTACGTTCTCCTGTCTCAGACAGAGCTCAAAATCGTCCTTATTATTGGTCAGACCATTGTTCACAAATACCTGGGAAATGTTATAAAAGTGAGTTTTCCATGTATAAACAATATATAAATTTATCGACTTTGAAATGTTAGTATACCTTAAACCTTATAAGTCATCTAATTTTTAAGACAGACTATATCATTTCAGTGTTTTTGATTCTTTGTAACTTGAAATCAAATGTGAAAATATACATTCACATTGTTTGTTCTGGAAGAAAACAGATGTATGATTTTTTTTTTCCAGCTATGGCTATATGATATGTATGATATATATGCATTTATCCATCAAAATATATAGCTTTGTATCAAATCATAATTGTAGTTGAACATTTAAATGCCAATAAAAATAGACATGTGACCATGTAAAGAAAAAAAAGTCCATTTAATAATGTATTCCATAAAAAAATTAAGAAAAAAATCAAAAGTAAAATTATATAAATGCCAATAAATACGGGCATGTGACCATGTATAAAAAAAATGCCAATTAAATAATAACTTTCATCAAAGAATTTAGAAAAAAACTAAAAGTAAAACCGTATAAATACACTTGAAATAAATAAAAGCATTATTGCCTGGTAGCTAGGAGAGTATAATGAATGACCACATACCGTTAGGCTTTTGTTTTTGTATTCTATCTTTACCCTGACGGGATACGGCTTGTTTCTAAAGTCACGCAGACATCCACCAAGTTGCTGTTGTGATCCATCACTTTAAAACAGAGAGGTGATCAAAGGAAGAATGATTTAGGAACTGTTTAAAGCCTCAATATAAAGAAAATACATGGCATAATACAAACATACAGTATTTTTAATGTTAATCTTTATGTGTAAATGAATAATAGGCATGCCTTAAAGATGATAAGAAAATTCTAAAGATTATGCTCCATTTCATTAAGATATCTTTTCACTTGTGCAAAAGAGTATTTTTGACGTTTTAAAATAATTTTTTCAACTTGTAGACGGGTTCGAATCCATTGCGGGAGGACCAGTCCTTCGAATGAGACTGTATAAACCGAGGTCCCGTGTCGCAGTAGGTGTTGGCACGAAAGAGATCCCTCACTGCTCGATGGCCCTGAGTACCGAGCATAGATTAAAATTTGCAGCCCTCCATTGCAGTCCGCCACAAATGCTGGCGTCTCCACATGAGCGAAAATTCTCGAGAGGGACGTTAAACAACATACAAACAAAACTTGTTGAATTCTCTCATGTCAAATGACACCATTTGATGTCACACGATATATGTTGTCACATAATGACACTTTTTTCTCATAGAGGTAAAAGATAAATATGAAATCAGATGAATTTTCGTTTTTGTGTATCTCAAATTGTTAATTCTAACTGTTGATTTGTTTTTATTTCATCCTCACTAACCCCTCAGTATCCCCTTCAGTAAATCAACACTCACTTCTGATGGTCATACTGTTGAGTTCCATCGTTGACCATTGCCATAATGTATGGGTTGTTTTGCTAAAATAAAGTAAGATTTTAATTGACAAAAATCATCGTCATTGTAAAATCATTGTGAAATCATTTTTTAAAAAATATGAATCATTACACTTTAATTTGCTAGATATGCATGTGCCTATACAAATACTCGAAACAATTTCGACCACCTGTCCATCATTATCAAAGGTGTCCATGAAGACACCTAATCCCCTCCACATATCCTGGTTCCCAAAAACTGGTCCCTCCTGACCTTTCTCCTCGGTAAACCACATCGCCTTTTGAAAATTGAAGAGCAGAACATAGTAACAAAATTCAATACACCATATTCAGTCACAAAGTAGTTAAAAGCAACATTTATCAAACGTGTTTATCGGTCAAATGTATTGAACAAAACGCTTTTGTATTTTTGTTCGTATAGAACATTTACTAAGCCCTCTCTATGGATAGATATGTAAATTATAAATTATTCATCTTTATTGGATGAGTAGATAAGTGGATAAAAAGTTTAATTGCTTCAACAAATGACAATTTTTTTTTGTTATAATGGATAAACTCTGCGTGCTATAGAAGATAGATTCTGTGTTTAGATAGATGTCAATGTGCATGAACATATTCCAAAACGAAAAAAAAAATTTACAAGTCCATCTGCGCCCGAACGACCTCGACCTGAGACCTTGAAAACACATTCCACAGACCACTGGTTAAAGTTAGTTTTCAGAGTGGTCCAGATCCATCCTATCAAAAAAAAAAAAAAAAAAGAAAAAAAGAAAAAAAAAAGAAAAAGAAAATTGCTCTCAAAACTGAAGTAATCAAATAAGTAACATCTACATTATATTTTTGTGCTTCAAATTAGTCAATCAAAAAGACATTAAGCTTCTTCATTGATACGAATAAGCAATTATTGAAAACATGAATTTTCCTTCCAAAATGCAACTAAACAAAACGGAAAAGATATATTCCCCCTTTACTCTATCTCCGTTATAATAGTACACTGTTTTATTTACAAAGTCTAAAATTGTTATCTAAATATATTTAAAAGGCCTCTCTAGTTACCTCTCTTGCTTCTTCTATAGGGAGTTAATCTGATATAATCATCACCAGCGACAGCATCTGAAAAAATATCAAAATAAATCACCACTACAGGATTGTACATCACTTCACCATGGTTTTTCTGATTACTAACTTTGATCACATTTGTTCTAGTCTGTGAGATTCCGCTTTTTCCTTCATATGGTGCTTATGTCTCCATATTTAATCAATATGCAAGAGCACGCTCAGAGTTCGATCAATTTTAAAACGAGTCAGGCTACTGACAAATAAGTTAATGTAAATTTCACGAGATTTTATCAAGCTCGTCTAAAGTCAGCATTTCAGAAATTCTATGAACTTAATAATGTTTTCTTTGATAATACAACCTATCACTGGGTTGTATTTTGACTAACATATTTCATAGTAATTGCTAGGCCATTGTTTTTATACTCAGTATGACCAAAGGTTATACAGTTTACGTGATCAATACAAAGGGCTTTCGGTGGGTGTGACCGGTTGACAGGGGATGCTTTCTCCTCTTAGGAACCGAAATATGTGCAAGATACGATGCAGTTACGATATCTAAAGATTATTTTTTATAGTTTGCCACATTATTTCTTTATACGTTTATTAGAATACTTTTAGTTCACGAAGTTTTCCTCTCTCTCAAGATATCGTTTCAATATCGAATCAAGATTTTTAAATTCGTTATGCCCCCCCCCCCCCAAAAAAAAAAATACTGTGGCTTTTTAATATGTGAATAACTTGAATACTATTACTTCATGAAGTATCCGTACAGTGTCGTAATCGTCAACCCTTGGTAAGTACCGTCCTTGTCATGGTATATGTGTGTCAACGTTTGAATACTTAACATTGACGAAGATTGTATTTTTCATCGATATCGTTGATATCGACGACATTGTTTCGATAACAAGTCATTTTTTGTCATCCTTCTTGTGAATGTATTTTTATTTGCAAGACTTGTGCATATGAACTAAGTTCGCCCTGCTGTCGATATCGTCGACATGCTATATATATGAAATTGAAAATAAATTTTACAGACCAGGGTCGATATTGATACGATATCCTCACGGTAGTTCGATGTCGATGGTTTCGACATAGCAATCAGTCTTATATATGGTATCCAGTAATTCCAATTTCATAGTACTGATTCGGATCGATACGATATCAACATAATATTGTCGATATCGTCGATATCGACATCGAATTCAATCTTGGACATCTCCAGAATTCTCATCGTTTTATGCCCTGTTCACAATTTTGTTTTGCTGATATGTTTCTATTTTACATTGATCACTGTTCGTTATATTATTTTTCATATCATTTTTCTCAAATTCGCTTCATTTCAAAACCAAATGAAATGCGTAAGCAAATACTAATTTAATGATCGATAGGTAGGATATTCAACATATAAATTTATTATACTTTCATGTTAAATACTAAAAAATACTAAAATCTAATTGGTGTAGACGCATTTAACAATCCAAAATGTTGATCTCGGCGTTAGCAACACACTTGACAACGGGTAACACAAGGAAATTGTTACATGCGTGCAAATTAGGCGCCTACAGTTCACCGTTGAATTCTCGAAACATCTGTTTTGCGTTTGACAGAAGCCTTATAAACTTGTCGTCAATAAATCTTGCGTCCGATGTAGCTTACTTGAAAACTACAAACGACATACGACTCGTGCCTGCGAGTACAGAAATAACGAAACTTTAGATAATAAAGATTCATTGAATATCAAACAAATAAAAAAGAGGTAGGTAAATCTTTTTCAAAGCTTTCTTATTGAGAAAAATATTAGAGGGGAGTTTGAAAGCTTTCTAAACGTGAACGTACATACGATCGACGATTTTTTTTCTGACATCCTAAATTAATAAGACATTCAGTATAATAAAATAAATGGTGCCTGTTTTGGAGGTTAACAGTTGAAATTGACAAACCAAGGAAAACTATTGTCAACCGACGCGTCAACAAAACAGGAACCAATTATATAGTAGTATAATAGTAGTATAAATGACGTTAAAAACCTCTAAGCAAATCTGTATAAAACCTTAGACATAGATCTTCCATTTCAAATGCAGCAATTGAGTAAATTCACCAACCATTTTTTATGCAAAAATACATTACTTTTATCTTAATGGAAATCTAACAAATATTTTGACTCGGTCATGTTTCGATGTGAACGAAAAGATTAACACGGCGTTACGTTTTAATATTACATTGTAGTATTCGGAGTGGCGACTTTACGTCCATACATTTTTAAATGCATAACTAAAATAATGACTTCAAGCTACCACTATGTTGTTTATCTATCTTTATATTCATTCATTAATTTAATCAAGCATAGATAAAATTCTGAAATCTAATTTCCTGCCATGAAACATGGTACCAACAGATCAGGACACGTTTAGTGTAAGTCTTACCTCCCCCGTAATCCCAGAATGGGATGCTATTGTTGCTCTGGATCAGGTGGGGGCCTTTAAAGCTGTATTTGTATTCATAACTGACCTTAAGTTGCAATCCATAAGCTAGATAAATTAGAGAACACACAAAAATGGCTTGGGAAAATAACATCGTCCTTATAACGTTCTACAAAGAAAAGTCAGTCACCCTTCCGATGTTTGCTGTATTTAAAAATATGTCATACGATATCCTCGACTCATTAAAAAGAATGAGTGTAGCAGATGTGAACAAACAGGTCAACAAACTTCAGTAGTAGTCTAAATCAACGCTTAAATAGTAAAATATAATTTGTTTTTGGAACGCTTGGTCTCTTTTTATAGCCTCATAAAGAGAATAAAAAGAATCTTTTTTATTGCACATTGGTGATAGCGACAATAATGTAGTTAATATATACATCAGATACTGAATATTATAAAAAAAAATTTACCGATGCACTTTGTTCAAAGAATAGCAAAAAAATGAACTAACTCAGAATTCGTTTTTTGTTGTTTATTTGTTGTTGATAGGACTCAGTAGACATAATTCATATTACAGATGTTTCTTTTTTGAAATGTCATTTTTCTAATTTGAGTTAAATCTAATTGAAGTACATTTAAATGTGTACATTTATCGATGTATTTTACAGAAGACATAACTAAAGTATACTTACAGATTTGAGGAAGAAAACAATGATTATTTGAGACAGGCTCAATGAAGGCTAAAAAGCAGGCTACAATATATTATATTGTTACAATTATTGAGGGAATCTTATTAAATTCCATTCAAAAGCCAGTCATCAAATTCAGTTGATGGCGTAGAGGTGTGACGGTATAATAAATTGCATAGTTTGATCCATATAATGCATCAAACATTCTATCTTATATTTGATATATACATGTTCATGTATTTCACTATCTACTTTGTATTGTATGGTAACAATATTTAAAAAGAAGAGGAATTTGATTAAATGAAGAGGCGGTAGACATAGAGAAACAACATTTAAAGATGAAACAAGGCTTGGATATCTGCTCAATAAGAAAAAAGACAGTGTAGAGAAATTGAGTTAGTTTCCTAGGCCTACCAGCTGTTTCCAAGTGCTTAACCTCTTTCCCCTTTTCAATAGTTTGTTCGTGAAACAAAAGTGGACAGTGGAATACTCAGTGTTTCAGAAATATCATTAGTTTTAGATTCTTTTGATAATACGCATCTACAATAGGCTTTCCTTTTTCAAAAGCAATCAATTTTAACATCAGCAAACGACATAGAGTATACAAAGAAAAAATGTAGGCAAGCAATTCATGAAACTGAATAATAGTGATAAATATGAAAAATATACTTTTCAAGCCTATGCCTTTCCTTTCTGTATATATACAGCATACATATGTAACAAATTATGGACGTCTACAGAAACTGGAAATGAATAGTTATCAAATATCGAATCTAAGTCTATTGAAAATGGAAATAAATACATGTTATATTAGTTATTATATACATGTATCATAACAAAAATTGCATAAAAATAGAAAATTGTGGAATTTATAAATCTCGGGGGTAAAGTAGCAAATGAATTAAGGTTTAGCCGATCGCGCAGGATAAAAATAGAAGAAAACAAATGCTGGGCATGAGTGAAGGATGAACTTTTCACCGCTGATAATTAGCTCCATGAAGTTTGCTATTTATTTGTAGATTAAGAACTTGTTTATAAGATGCTGGTTTGGTCAAGAATAAGGGTGTAACCAATCAAAGAGGTTGATGCAAGGGTTCAGAGGTCATGCATCTGTATAAATTACCTACAGGAAATAAAAAGTCAAGATTATACAAAAAGTTCAACAAGAATTTTACGAGCAATTTAAGATAAAAAGAGGGTTTAAGGTCGGATAATATTAATTTAAATTCAGAGCAAAATTAAAAGTCATTAGTGCAAATTTTGAAGAAATACTCAAATATGCAGGGCATGTACGGGGGTATAAATGTAGCGCAGTGAGACATAGCCAGCCGGTGGTCTGCTGGATTTTGTCTCTTTCTGGTTGCATTTATACAGGTAAGAGATTTTTATAGACTTGCGCGATTTTTGTAAGATGGTTAAAATGTTCAGATGGCTTAATGTATTTACAGGTTAATATATTTTATAATCTGATAGAAATGTTTCGTATTTATTATAATGTTTGTTATGTTGTGTATTGTGTATCTTTAGTAATTGTAAATAATTAGAATGTATGTGTTAATTTAATAAAGGGTGGTCTGCTGGATTTTGTCTCTTTCTGGTTGCATTTATACAGGTTGGGTAACAGCTAGGGCCACTCCCCATAACCTGTGATGCGCTATGGACAGTAAGGGAACATATCCTAGAAAGAGTAGATTCAAACTGGAACGTCATTTTGAGAAATAAAGGAATATTGATAATTGATATTGATCCAGCTAACTTGGGTCAATCTGCTCAAGACCAGGGGATTGTAAGAATTGTTCCCCTGTGTCTTAAAACCTCTCACAGGCAAAAAGCGCACAACGATCCCGGAGCTGACAATCAATTTATCCAGTGACCAGAGAAATTCTAAGACCAAAAACAATATATCCAAAATAAGCGCAGACACCAAAAACCTTTTTTTGTTTTTTATATGGTACATATATAAATTAAAATTTAAAAAGCAAGTTGTTCAATCTGTTACGTAAAATATATTTATACCTGGCTGAAAGAAAACAAGTTTCTGAAGGTTTTCATCTGTTTTTGACAGTGTAATATGCATCTGTTTTATTGTCATGTTAACGATTTCAGGAAAAATATTTGTCACAGATTGAAAAAAAATAATTATTCTAATAAATGCTATATGTTTTAATGTTAAGTGAATTGATTTACTAATTATCATCTTATTATAATCACAATCATCATCATCATCTTTATCACATAAAAGAGGTAGTTAATTACTGCCATCTGTAATTTACTATGTGTCCATTAATAAAGATTGTCTTTCATAATCACGGGGCTGAATGCGCATTAGGTGGATTGGGAGTGTGAAAGGTCAAATGTGTTTGAGACTGGATGGGTGTTGTTAAGGTCTGACGACACGTTCGTCAAATATCTGTTTCTCCTTGTAATATATATTAAGAAATATTCATAATATTAACATTATTTTTGTGATTTCTAAACTGTTTTCAAAATGGCTTAGAAAAAAGATACAACAAAATTGTGATATTGATCATTCAAGTGATTTCAAATAGGATTATATAGAAAACACCACCCCCTGGTATCTAGCACAAATGCCTGGTAAGGTGTCTCAACCCCCCCCCCCCCCCCCCCCTCCTAAAAATATCCTGGATCCGCGCTATCCACCGTCAGGCACTTGAAGCGTGGACAACGTACATCTATGCACCCCCCCCCCCTCTCTACCAAATAATATATAAATTAAGTGAGTGCATTTTCTGGAAAATGACTGATTTCTCCATCATAGCAATCTTAATGTTATTCTGTGCAATCGGTTTGTGTTGTTTTCCAGATTTACAATTTGGCCAATACGGGCGGTGGGGGTGGGTGGGGGATGCAGAGTTGTATGATATCATGGTTAATTACGCTTTATAGGTACCTGTGCATTTAAAATTGTGTTGTGTTTACTCAGATGAATATCGAATACTGGCTATTTATGTTGATCAAAATGGTCTTTTATAAAGTTACTTAACTTCACTCATATTTTGCCACAATGTTCTATATATACCATGTGTATGCGGCATTAAATTTTATGTTTCTTGTATACCCTATGCTTTGCTTTCGTACAGGAATCTTTATTTGAAATTAAACATAAATAAATCAACTCGTTCTTGATAATTAACGTTTAATATGAACAGCCTATATAATGTACATCGTTTTTGGTATAATTTATATATTTTCAAGGGATTTTAACAGGTACATGTATCATATTTGCCATTTTCCGTTCCGCGTTTTAACAACTCCCGCTTTAATCTTGAACTCCGCGCGGTTTTTTACTCCTTAAGAGGACCAGTTTAGATGATGATAAAGAAGTTTCCACTGCATAACATGAAACGACTAAAGAATATAAAGAATTGACCACTTCATATTACATATTTAAAATGATCCGATTTCTTTTTTTTTTTTTTTAAAATCTTTGAACTACATATCATAGCTAATTCTTCATTCCAACAGTTGTGGTCAATCAATTACTTAGTGAAAAACAAATTACCTAGTAGAGTGCCAGGGCTTATTACTATTTGCTGAGAGAAAATGCATGTCAAATTGTAGCATACAACATCAAATCAATCTATCTCAAGGAATCTTGTGTTATCGTGATCGTAAGTGCTTTTGGTCACTAATGATGGTGTAAGATATTGTTTACGAAACATATAAATGAAGCCAAAATAATTTTGCCATTAGTCCTCTGACTATTCATATACATGCCTTAGCAACATCCATGCTTGCAATTTTTCAATGACCCTTTCAATTACACTTTCACACAAAATAAAGAATATTCATTAATTTTAGATTATTACATCATGTTTAAAATGCGTGGTTTTCCTACCCTCTACAAGATAAAACATTCCTATTAACAGACCCAGTCGCTTGAATTTAAGCATGTCTAAAACAGAAAACAATCAATTTATACTAATCCAATTCTATTTGAAATTAATTTGAGCTTAGTTCTTCACTATTTGATAAGAGAATGGATCCCTCTCAGCTTCCTGGTTAGTAACGTCTTATAGTACATACCAGGAAGAACTGGGTTAAAGAAACCTTAAGTACCGTTTTAAGTAAAACTATTTATAAAAAACATACACGTATATTGTGATTATACATGAATTGTTTTTGTTCTGGTTGTTCTGGTTGCACAACTTTATATTTTGTCCTCTCTCTCTTTCTCTCTCGCTCTCTCATTTTGATGTATTATGGTCATATCAATGTTTTTGAGACCAAGGTAAGAGAGAGCTGAATCTTCAAAGATTTTGATACTATTGGATTTTTAAAAAAAATATTTTTCTCTATCAATAAATTTGGCGGTAATCAAGTTTCTTGTTTTGAAATGCTGTAAACATATCCTGAATTATTCTTATTTACAGAAATAAGGATGAAATTGTTCCTAATGAAAGGCCAAGAAAATACAGGAGAAAATACACAACAAAGCAAACTCAAAACAGGA